TAGAATGAGTCTGAAAGTTTTCCTTCCCTTTCTATTTTTTGGAAAAGCTTGAGAAGGCTAGGTATTATCTCTGCTTTAAATATCTGGTAGTATTCCCCCAGGGAAGCCATCTAGTCCTGGACTCTTATTTGTTGGGAGATTTTTGATAACTGATTCAATTTCTCACTGGTTATGGGTGTGTTCAAGTTTTCTATTTCTTCCTGTTTGAGTTTTGGAAGTGTGTGGGTGTTTAGGAATTTGTCCATTTCTTTCAGGTTGTCCAGTCTGTTGGCATGTAATTTTTCATAGTATTCCCTGATAAATGTTTGTATTTCTGATGAATTGGTTGTAATAATTCCATTTTCATTCATGATTTTATCTATTTGAGTCATCTCCCTTTTCTTTTTGAGAAGCCTGGCTAGAGGTTTATCAATTTTACTTATTTTTTGAAAAAAACCAACTCTTGGGTCTCCAGCGCTGCCGCCGCCAGAGTCAGAGCTGGAGCCCGTGCAGGCTGAGCTGCTGAGGCAAGATGGTGGACTATAGCGTGTGGGACCACATCGAGGTGTCTGACGATGAGGACGAGACGCACCCCAAAATCCACACGGCCAGTCTCCTCTGCTGGCAGCACCAGGCCCGGGTGGAGCGCATGGAGCAGTTCCAGAAGGAGGAGGAGGAGCTGGAGAGGGGCTGCCGCCAGTGCAGGCGCAAGGTGGCCGAGTGCCAGTGGAGGCTGAAGAAGCTGGAGGCCGCGGAGGGCGAGGTCAGCAAGGCGGAGCTAGAGCGGCTGCAGGCTGAAGCTCAGCAGCTGCACAAAGAGGAGCGGAGCTGGGAGCAAAAGCTGGAGGAGATGCGCAAGAAGGAGAAGAGCATGCCCTGGAACGTGGACACACTCAGCAAGGACGGCTTCAGCAAGAGCATGGTCAATACCAAGCCAAAGCAGACGGAGGAGTCGTCAGAGGAAGTGAGGGAGCAGAAACACAAAACGTTCGTGGAGAAGTATGAGAAACAGATCAAGCACTTTGGCATGCTCCGTCACTGGGACGACAGCCAGAAGTACCTGTCGGACAATGTCCATCTGGTGTGCGAGGAAACCACCAACTACCTTGTCATCTGGTGCACTGACCTAGAGGTGGAGGAGAAATGTGCACTCATGGAGCAGGTGGCCCACCAGACCATCGTCATGCAGTTCATCCTGGAGCTGGCTAAGAGCCTGAAGGTGGATCCCTGTGCCTGCTTCCAGCAGTTCTTCACCAAGATCAAGACAGCCGACCGCCAGTACATGGAGGGCTTCAACGACGAACTGGAGGC